TTTTCTATATCCTCTCTTTCTGTCCCAGTCCCCCCACTATTCTTTCTTCTATCAATCACACTCTTCCTTATAATAAGTTTCAGGTATCAATTATTTACATCTCTTCATGAAATGTAATCAATATGTCCTCTGTCATGACTATATATATTTCAGTCTAAATAATGATAGCTAAGAGTGATCAAGCTCTTGTTTTAAGACAAAACTAAGCTAGGAATTTATCTCATTTATCTCACAATCATTCTATGAGGTAGGAAGCATTATAACTGTTTGCCAATCAACAAATCAGCTTAAGGCAGATAAACAACCTGCCCAGGGTCACAAGCTAAACGTGGTCTGGGTTCAGACATTGACCTCTTAAGTAACTATATTGATTTTAAATCTGGATGATCTGAGTGACAGGCATCTGAAGAGATAAGGAAGGGGTTCTTGAGGCTTCTTGCAATCTGAAAACACCAATCTAGGCTGATCTCAGTTTTGTTTATCCTGTGTAACTAGACTAAGTCATTGCCATCAAGTCAATTCTGACTCATAGTGACACCTCCTTGTGTTTCCAAGGTGGTATCTCTACAGAAGTAGATTGCCCAACTTTCCTTCTAAGGAGTGGCTGGTGGGTTTGAACCACTAGCCTTCTGGTTAGCAGTCAAATGCTGAGTAGTTCCTTCTTATATGTGAATGGTAGCTCTATTGTTGTGTACATGTATAATTCCAATCCTACCTCCCATGACCCCTTAGCTTTTTCTAAGAAAATGAGAAGCACAGAAGAATACAGCCTTTATGAGAAAGAAAAGCCTGAAGGAACCACAATAAAATATCCAGAATGTCACACTCTACTTTTTCATAACAGATTCCTTTCCTTAGCCAATGCTTTTCTTTTAGCAGGTATATTAAAAACATGAACACTGTCAGGTTTGTGGCGGATGATGAAGAACATTCACCACATTCCCAAACACTAGAGAAATGTGGCAACTCATTCACATAGGGCAAGTAAACAGAAAAATTACTTTACTCAACTTCAGAATTTACTAAAACTCAAATCCATTCAAGCTCACAATACAAATAGGTTTACCAAAGTTAGGAATAGGAAAAAAAAAAAAAAAAACCTAATAGAGGGAAATTAGGATTTTGTGATGTGTGTGTCTGAATTTTTTTGGGGTTGAAAATAAAAGGACAAAATCTCTGGGGACACTGGCAGAGAACGTGACTCCTCAGTGGACAGAAGCCAGGCCCAGGAGAGCAAGTCTTTCATTGTTTCATTCCCTCCCTGAGGTGAGGTAGGGAACAGGAACCCTTCCCTACACTCAAGAGGAAACTCCCTCTGCTGCCCTGCTTGGTGCCTGTCGGAAAAACTCATCATGTGAAACCAATACCTGAGAACATTCCAGGGTGCCTATTACACATTCAGCCAACCCCCAGGGAGGACTGTTGCTAAGGAAAATATGGAATGAAGATCAGATCACACTGCCTTTTGGAACAATAAATCAGTTGCTCTCCAGTGGACTCTGACTCAAGGTGACTCCATGTGTGTCAGAGTGGATTTATGCTCCATAGGGTTTTCAATGGCTGATTGTTTGATAGTAGGTCGCCAGACTTTTCTTTTGTGGCACCTCTAGATAGACTCGAACCTCCAACTGTTACAGGAGGGGGACCCTGAGAAACCCACATGAGTTCCAGTCTTCTGGTGGGAAAGAATTGCTCACAGAGACAGAGGTGGTTTATAGAGAGCAAGCCTTTAATGAAATACTGCACAGGACTGTACTGTGGGACAGCAAACTAGGTGTATAGCATACTAGCTGGACTGCCAACATTTCCCAGCTGGTTTACAGCCATTGTAGGGGACAGAATAAAGAAGCTATGCAATTAGCAAGTCATGTGTGTGAAATCCCTAACTTTTGATGTTCTGGTCCTCTGGATTGATCAGGGCATCTGCTTAACTGTTCATCAAAAGGGGCTCCATCATGAAGTCTCCTGTGTTGACACCTTAGAATCTGCAACAAATGGCCTGGTGATTACCAATCTTTCTACTAGCAATGCTTCTAGTTCTCCCATTCTTATCAGCAGGAGTAATTTAAGTAGTTTACAAAAGAATATGATCCACTACTTCCATTCCTTACATTTGCCCCTACTTCAGTAGGGGTAAGGTAATTTACAAAGGACTGTGACCTGGCAAGGAGCTCTGGTGGCATAGTGCCTAAGGCATTTGACTTTTAACCAGAAGGCTGATGGTTCAAACCCACCAACCAGTCCTTGGAAGGAAGATTGGGCAATCTACTTCCATAGATATACTGCCTCAGAAACCCAAGGAGGGGTTGCTATGAGTTGGATCCGACTAGACGGCAGTGAGTTTTGTTTGGTTTCGTGGCCAGACAGCTTCCTTACATTTGTCCCTACCTCACTATCAGGAGGGGTGTGGTAGTTAAGTTTGTGTGTCAACTTGGCTGGACCTGGTTGAGTGGCTGGGCAGCTGGTGGTAGTTAATCCCCATGATGAGACTGGCAGTGAACTCCGTGGTGGGATCTACCACAAGCAGCTGAGTGGCAGCCTTTGGGTATGTGGTCTGCTTCCTGTATATAAGCAGCAGCTTTCGGAATGGTCTCTAGCCTGTAGCATTCTTGGACCTTGTATGTAGCTGTGTCCTTGTTCATCAGCCTGCCATGCTCTGTCGACCTTGGGATTTACAATGGACTTAAATTAATGGCCTGCTGTGTGGTTTGGTAACATCAGGACTGTGCCTTTTTACTTGTCAACCCTGGGCTTCTCAGTCTCAGCAGCCAGCAGCTGTCTGAGTGAAGAAATGCCTCTAGCTCCAGTGTGCCAGGAGTAGGAGGCAGAGCTGGACCCCAAGATTAAGGGGTTTTCACCCAGTCCCTAGAGTTTAGTACTTTGAACTTTGACTTAAAGCCTCCAAAGTGTAAGAGAATAAACTCCTCTTTGTTAAGGTCATCCCATTTGTGGTATATTCTTGTCAGAGTGCTACTCAGTAACCAGAACAAGAGGTAAAGTAATTTACAATGGGATGTGCCCTGGCAGCTTCTATCCCATACATGAGTTCTCCCAACCTCACAACCTTTCAGTTAGCAACTAAGCACTTTAATTTCCTGTACCACCCAGAGACTCCTCTGAAACAAAAGATGATTAAACAAAGAAATGCTCCAAGTCTTACAGCACCATCAGGGTAACAGGCCCTTTACCTGTCACTCTTCAGATAAGAGCTCCAGGGCCACTTCCCAGGTGTAGACAGCCTCAGCCAGTGTCTATGGTCAAATGGTCAAATGGCCTAGGGGAAAACAACCTCACTATGGCTTCTACCAACCAAAAGGGTAAATTCAATCTTTTCTCTAAATCCTACCTCTTCTCCCTTAAATGGCACCAGCATCTTAGAGAAAACTAGTAGAGTTTGATGGATTCTACTAATCAATGTAACATCTGATAAAAGAAAAAGAAAAAGAGGTAAACCCAAAAGATTTTTAAAAATACTGAAAATTAATAAAATATAAAATGAACAAATTATCTCCCTTATCCTTTAGACCATGGACTACTGGAGTAGACATGCTGTTGTTATTAGATACTGTCAAAGTCAAGTTCTACTCATAGCAACTCCATGTGACAGAGTAGAACTGCCCCATAGTGTTTTCTTAGGCTGTAATCTTTACTGGAGCAGAACACTGGGTCTTTCTCCTACAGAGCAATTGGGTGGGAAACTGCCAACTTTTTGGTTAGCAGCAGAGTGCATCACCAGGGTTTCTTGGAGTAGACATGCATGCATATTTCTAACCATATATAAGACCAAAGTTCACAGACAAGTTACATGACATGTCCAAAGTAGTCACAATCCTAGGTCATATTCCAATGAGAAAGTACTTGCTTCACACTTAAAGGCACCAAGGCAGGCCTATGGAGCAGGTTGCATTTGATCATGGCCTTTAAAGATGCATATAATTAAATCAGTTGTGGATGATAGAAATGGCAATGCAATAATAAAAAAATACATTTCAGTTCATTTATTTTTATAGATTAGTAATTTAGCACAATGAATTGCACTTAAACATGTGTTATCTACAAGTGGCTAGACAAAAGAGAGGGAAGGAGAAAGAGAGGGGAAGGGGGGAGGAAAGATAAAGTAGTCTAGTAAAGTTGTTGAGCTGGAGTTCAAAGCTCAAGGTCAAGTTTGGGGATGAAGAGAATGGAAAATTATACTGAAAAACATCTTCAAACCCTAGGGCAAAATATCACACTTTACAAATCCAAACCTAATAAATGTCTGTTGTTCATGTCATTGTCATCAAAGCCTGTTTATTGCTGTTTTGTTTTTAGTATTTATTTTTAAAGGAAAAATTCCAATTATAAAACAGACCACAAATCCTTTGTTCACAGCTTAATCCTATAATCTGTATCACAGCTGTCTATCACTGATACTGATTAAATATAGCAATGTTATTTTACCTATCTCCAGAAATACAATTATGGCATATTGAACATCAAAATCAAAATTGACTGCTTCACTTGGGAGGGAGGACAATCAGCTTGAAAAGCCACCAACTCACTATGTGACCTTGGGCAAGGTGTCCTTATTGTAAACACAGTGTTGAGGGGGTTGAGGCCAGGCAATCTCTAAAGCTCCTCCTAGTTCTAATGTGATCATAAATGGCACATAATCTAGTTCAATGTGAATTACTAAAAAATCATGCTTACATCTCAATATATGATATAGATCAGATGCTCTTGATTAAAACTCTTAGGAATTCTTCATGAATAATCTCTGGAGTGATTAATTTCTGTCACTGGGAGTTCATTGACAAAGATTCACAAGCAAAGAATATGGCAGAGCCTGCAACTTTGCTCCCAGTCCTCAGAAGAATCTTCCTGTCTCCTTTGTATATAAATGTCTAATAGATTCAAGAAAGTAAACCAGGTAGTCTTACATAACTCTGAACATTCTTCTTTCACATAAACAGGAAGATAGAGTCTTGAAAAATACAGAAACAATCCTGTAGACAATACAACTATTTTCTTTGGAGCAAAGGACTGTGGGATTTGTGGTGTTCCTTGACATTTCTGTGCTCTGTTGTCCATCTGGATCCAACTGGTGAAACCTCTTCCTCACTTTCCTCTCCAGATTCATATTCCTCATTTACTGCATGAAAGAGTGGTTTAGGCCTTAAAGCTGCCCTTCGGACTCTGCCAGTATGCTCTTCTTGGCTTGGACTTCTTTGGTAGCCAAAGTTGAATGGCTTCCCTCCTTTGTGTAAGCTCTTCATTGGAATTGTTTCTTGTGTTAGCCATCTTTCTTGAAGCGACCCTGTTCGAGAGTGTGTATTGAACATGGTGGAAGGGGATCCTGACTCACTGCTGCCATCACCTAGAAAAACATAATGACAAGAAGAAAAGTCACAAAATTTAGTATCAGAGAGTTAAAACTTAACATTCAGATGGCAAGAATTCAGAATGAAGCAAAATCCTTTCTGGGGTTCCAGCTTACAGTCTACTCTCTTATCAATATGATTTTCTCTTTCCAAGGTCATTGCCCAAAGTGGGTGGGAAGTAGATTCCAAATGTGCAGTATAAGAAACAAATAGATATTCATGTAAACATGTATATGGAGCCAGTTCTCCTGAGGTGATAAGGAAGTATTAGTACAAAATCAATGTTTTGTGAGGTCAAAAGCCATCACTGACATCATTAAAGAAAAATAAAACAAAAGTGAAGGTTATATGGCACAGCTATATGAAAATGGGTGGTTTCATCTTGTTATTTTTTAATCAGTGGTCACCAGAAAGCATTAAATCTGAGTTTTATACTTTCACCTTGAAGTAGGCAAACTTATAGAAACAGAGATGAAAGGGATGTGTGTGCCAAAACAACATGACTAAATTCTCTCTTTCCAAAGGAGGTAAGTGAATGAACTCATTGTGGCTGACATATGATGACAATACTGATAATAAAAACCCAAAACCAAACCTGTTGAGGTCAAATCAATTCTGACTCATAGTAACCTTACAGTATAGAGTAGAACTGCCCCATAGGGTTTCCAAGGCCATAATCTTTATGGAAACAGATTGTCTCATCATTCTCCTGAAGAGTAGCTGGTGGGTTCAAACTGCTGACTTTTCACAGTTTAAGCCACTAGGGCTCCTAATAATGATAATAATTGGCATTTATTGAGAACTTACTATGTGCCTGTCAATATCCTGATCATTTTACCTATATGTCGTTTATTTCTCACAATTGCCCTTTGAAGATTGTGGTAGTTCAATTTGTGTGTCAACTTGGCTGGTCCTGGTTGAGTGGCTGGACAGCTGGTGGTAGTTATTCCCCATGATGAAAGTGGCAATCAACTCCATGGTGGGATCTACCACAAACAGCTGAGTAGCTGTCTTTGGGATGTGGTCTGCTTCTGTAGGAGAAGGCTTGAGAATGGTCTCTAGACTTTAGCAAGCTTGGACCCTGCATGTAGCCATGTCATTGCTCAGCAGCCTGCTATGCTCTGCCAACCTTGGGACTTACAATGGACTTAAGTTAATGGCCTGTCATGTGAATTGGTAACATCAGGACTGTGCCTTTTCACTTGTCAACCTTGGGCTTCTCAGCCTCAGCAGCTGTCTGAGTGAAGAAATGCCTCTAGCTCCAGTGGGCTGGGAGCAGGAGACAGAGCTAGACCCCAAAGTTGAGGGGCCCCTAGAGCCTGGCACTTTGAACTTGGACTTAAAGCCTCCAAATTGTAAGAATAAACTCCTGTTTGTTAAGGCCATCCCATTTGTGATATATTTCTTGTCAGAGCGGTACTAGGTGACCAGAGCAAGGATGAATAAAATTATGGTCTTCATTTCATAAATGGAAAGGTTGAGTATTCACAAGGTTAAGTCACTTTTCAATATCACATAGCTAGTAAAGATAGAACTGGAATTTGAGAAGAGCCCTCTCCTTTACATAATGGTATACATGGTGGTTATGAGGTTACATGGGGGTAATGGTGGTTCAGTGGTAGAATTCTTGACTTCCATGTGGAAGACCTAGGTTTGATTCTTGGCCAATGCATCTCCAGCACAGCAACCACCCATCCATCAGTGGAGGAGGTTTGTGTGTCGCTATGAGGCTGAATAGATTCAGCAGAGCTTCCCAGCTGAGATGGAATAGGAAGAAAAGCCTGTTGATTTACTTCTAAAAATCAGCCAACGAAAACACAATGGGTCACAATGGTCTGTCTGATCCACAACTGATTAAGGGGATGGCGCAAGACTGGTGGCATTTCTTTTGGACATGCACTGGGTTGCCATGAGTTGGAATCTGACTTGATGGCAGCTAACAACTATAACATAAGGATTTCATAAATGAGGGGAATAAAGCCACCTTGGCATTCATGTAATGTCCTCTCTCAGATTACCTGCCAAATACCTAAATTATTCATATGGCATTGCTTTTTCCCTATTTCAATTCACACAGATTTTCAAAGGAATGTATTTCACACATCTCATTTATTCACATTTCCTCAAATTTCAATCTTATAAATTTATTCTCTTTCAAATATCCTCCTGAGAATTTTGTTATTTTAAGATTTTACATGTAAATATGAAAGTAATTTTCCTTTTCACATTTTTGTGATGCAGTAGTTACAGTGCCCAGCTGCTAACTAAAATGTCAGTGGTTTGAATCCACCAGTGGCTCTGTGGGAGAAAGATGTGGCAGTCTGCTTCCGTAAAGTTTAAAATGTTGGAAATCCTATGAGGCAGTTCTACTCTGTCTTACATGGTTTCAACAAAATGAAATCAATTCTAATAGGAATTGACTCATTGACAGTGGATCTACTTCTTCTTCTTAAAAAAAAAAATACTATATATATATATATATATATATATAGGAGCTCTGGTAGCATAGTGCCTAAGGCACTTGACTGCTAACCAGAAGGCTGGAGGTTCAAACCCACCAGCCACTCCTCCGAAGGAAGGTTGGGCAATCCTACTTCCGTAGTGATACTGCCTCAGAAACCCAAGGAGGGGTAGCTATGAGTCGGGGCTGACTTGACGGCAAATAACACATACATAAGCTCTGGTGGTGTAGTACCTAAGGCATTTGACTGCTAACCAGAAGGCTGGCAGTTCAAACCCACCAGCCCACCAGCCACTCCTTGGAAGGAAGATTGGGCAATCTACTTCCATAGTCATACCACTTCAGAAACCCAAGGAGGGGTCACTATGAGTCGGGCCTTACTCAATAGCACATAACAACAACAGCAACATATACATATGTACCTATACATACAAAAAAATATATATACATATGTATATGTATATACGTACATATATATTCAAAACCCACAGCTAGAACTAATGTGTTAAAAAATTTATACTTAAAAAAATGCGTTTAAGATATGGGATATGAAAAAAATCTTAAAATACTCTGTTTAAAAATGTTTTAAAAGATGTGACCAAATTTCTATCCTGAGAACAGTGCTTTCAAGTTGACTGATGAGGGTACAGGGAAGCAGTTACTTTGAATAAAGAAAACTGCAATATCCGGTATCTTTCATGATTTTTTATTAATCACTGTCCTTTAATTTGTGTTCTATAGTCTGGCCTAGGACCAGAGTTCCCTTTGTTCCTTAGGTCCTTGGAACACTACCTAAGGAATGCTTCTGTACTGAAGAACTTGTTACTTGTCTTACTGTCCTAGTCTAGTGCCAGCTCCTGGTCTCTGACCATTTCATTTGAGGCAGTAAGCTCCCCATTGGTGGGTGGATTCTAGCTGTAGTTTCCTAACCCCCTTCTGGTTATTCTGTCATAATGGATTACAAGCACTAGGAAGACAAAGGCTCAGGCAGGTGACTTCTAAGGTTCCAATCAACTCAATTCAGTACATTTGGCCAAAATGTGAGGAATGATTCATGTGGAAAGCCAAGTGAAAGAAGGAAGGGTGGAGACTGTGCTTTGTCCTTCTTTTTGTAACTCTCCACATGGACACCGTAGGAAGTGCAGTTTCAGGGATAAATCAGTGCATTCATTTTCAGCAAAATCTGAATATCTATTCTTCTATTTTCTGCCTTAAGGACAGAAAGAAAAGAAATAGAGACCCAGGGATCAACTTTCAACAAACAGTAGACAGACCTAAAAAATGAATAATAACACCAGGGAAGAAAGAACGCACTCCTCGGTACAAACAAGCATATGAGACCAAATTTGTCTCCTAAAGATAAAGCTCTGAAAGCAGGAAGGGGCAGGAAAGAAGGACAGATGGAAATAGGGAAACCAAAGAGGAAGTGGGAAGAGTGCTGTTACATTGGACATTGAGGGAATTGCAACCAATGTCATGAAACAAAATGTGTATAAATTGTTGAATAGAAAACTAATTTGCTCTGTAAATTTTCACCCAAACTACAATTTAAAAATAATGTTGTTGTTGTTGTTATGTGCCGTCGAGTTGGCCCCGACTCATAGTGACCTTGGGTTTCCGAGGCAGTATCACAGAAGTAGATTGTATCTACAGAAGTAGATTGCCCAACCTTTCTTCCAAGGAGTAGCTGGTGGGTTTGAACTGCCAGCCTTCTGGTTAGCAGTCAAGTGCCTTAGGCACTACGCTACCAGAGCTCCTTAAAAATAATATGTTGTTATGTACCGTCGAGTTGGACCCAACTCATAGTGACCCCTCCTTGGGTTTCCGAGGCCGTATCACTACGGAAGTAGATTGCCCCATCTTCCTTCCGAGGAGTGGCTGGTGGGTTTGAACCGCCAGCCTTCTGGTTAGCAGTCAAGTGCCTTAGGCACTATGCTACCACAGCTCCCTTAAAAATAATATAGCAATAAAAAATTTTTAAAAGAAATAGGGAAAGTGCTTTCTGCTCAAGGCAAGGTAGAGCTGAATCTGTTGTTCTTGTTAGGTGCTGTGGAGTTAGTTCTGACTCATGGTGAGGCCATGTACAACAGAATGAAACACTGCCTGGTCCTGCTCTCCTCACAAATCATTGCTGTTTGAGCCATTGCTGCAGCTACACTATCAATCCATCTTGTTGAGAGTCTTCCTCAGTATAGGATATACGAGGATGAAAGTTAGCTACTGCAGACCACATACACTGTTCAGAGGCTCAGATCCCCAGTGTGCAACCCTTCACACTTCTCTCTCCACACAGGTTTTAAGGCAGCCCTAGAGAAATAAGAGGAGATTCCAGGCTTTGCTGATAGCACCAACTGAGTCCAATATGTAAAAAAGCCTGGGGAGGGCTAGATGTTGTTCTCTGTGAAATGCAAGGGATGTTCTGACCTTGGGGGTCAAGGGAGAGATAGGAAGGAAACTAATCTCCCAGTCACAGCTTGGTTAGCCCAGGCTGCTTAGAGGGCCATCACCTAGGGTGTTCTGCCATTTCCTGACCCCTTTCCTGCAGAAAGACCTCAGTTGTGGAGAGAAGAAGAATGAAAATAATTATGCCTAGACTGTCTCAGTCTAACCCTGATTATTATTTTGATTATTAAAAACTTATTAAGGATAACTGGTAAAGTAAGTCCCACTTCATGACTTTTCCTTCTCAGACTTCTAATCTACCCACTCTCTCCTTGCTTACCCAGAGGAAATTTAGAACCAGGTGATCACATTTGAAAGAAAAATAATTTCATTAGAAGTAGTATTGTATGTCATGTCTAGATTAATTCCTGTAGGACCAACAATTTTATCATGTTGTCTTTTCTTCCAAGGACACTTATATCGACCCATGTGTTCAAATCTTCTTTTACATCCTTCAAGAGTAATAACAATAATGGCTATAGTTATTGGACATGTACTTGGTTCCAGAAACTGTTCTAAGAGTATTCTATGCACTGACTAACTTTGTCGCTGGACAATACCATTGTAGTGGTAGGTACCAATGTTAGTCCCTTTACAAACAGGAAACTACAGCATAGAGAAGTAGAGTTTATTTTATTTTCATATAGGTGCCATGCACTTTTTCCTGGTATTACATGACTTCTACCGAAAGTTTGAATGAGATGCCCTTTAGAGTATCTATTGAAATAATAGGATTTTTATCCCTTGACTTGATGAATAATGTAAAGACATTTCTAAATAGTAAATAATCCCTGTCTTGTTGGAATAAACCCCACTTTGTAAAGGTATATTATTCATTTAATAATATGCTGCATTTTGTTCATTAATGTTGTATTGAGGATTTATATGTAAGTGCTCAAATGAGGCCTCTCTGTGGTCATCCCCTGCTACTGTAGCCATGAGATACCGATTTTCATTCTATTTTCACTTCACAGGAAATAATTTTGAGATATTCTTGTTTTCTGTGCACTCAAACAACATAAGTAACGCCAGCTTTAAAAATAAAACAAACTAGTATACTCTTTATGTCTGTTGCTTTTGTTTGTGGTTTAGTTCTTTGACAACATAAAATAATACTATTTATTAGAGGGTGGTCTGGGAATAGATAACTAGATCAATGAAACAGAATTGAGAGTCCAAACATCTCCAGGATAAATGTCTTTAGTATAAGAAAGATGGCATTTCATCTTAGAGGAAAAGATGACATTGGGATAGCAGAATAGCCTTTTTTGGGAAAAAAAAAAAGAAATCTGAAGTGTGTTTCTATCTTAATCCTTACACAAAGAGGAACTTTAAATGGATTGAAATTTAAACGTGAAAATTAAGTCATTAATATGTTATGTTATGTGCCCTTGAGTTGGACCCGACTCATAGTGACCCGTCCTTGGGTTTCCAAGGCAGTATCACCACGGAAGTAGATTGCCCAACCTTCCTTCCTAGGAGAGGCTGGTGGGTTTGAACTGCCAGCCTTCTGGTTAGCAGCCATTAATGTAGATGAAGTACTTTTAATAATTCTGTGAAAGAATTGATTAATCAGAATGAAAATTCTGAATGGCAAAAGACATATAAAACTAAAAGATAAATGTGAAACTTGAGGAAAATTCATTTGCAACAAGTATGAGACAATGGGTGATAGTCTTGTTATAATATAAAGAATTCTTCAAATTTACTTTAAAATAACCAACAACAAATAGAAAAAAAAAAAGGCAAAACAGAAAATTCTCAAAAAGAAATACAGTTGCCTTTATTGTATAATAATATGAAAGCATGTTTAAACTCACTAAAAATCAGAGATATTCATATGAAAATTAAATATGGTACTTGTAGAATAGTGCCTAAGGCACTTGACTGCTAACCAGAAGGCTGGTGGTTCAAACCCACCAGCCACTCCTCAGAAGGAAGGTTGGGCAATCTACTTTCATAGTGATACTGCCTCGGAAACCCAAGGAGGGGTCACTATGAGTTAGGTCCAACTCAACAGCACATAACAACAACAACAACATCATATTGTAAATTATTAAAGATTTTTAAAATAATCCAGTTATAGTAAAGATGTTGGGAAAAAAATGACAATTCTCACAAATTGTTGATGTGAGAATAAATTATTGATAAAATCTTTTGGGAAAATATTTTAGTAATATATGTAAGTATTTAAATATATATAACTTTTCTTATCAGGTAAGGGTGGGGATGGTGCTGAGAATTGTAGACAGATGCTCACTAAAATGTTTTATAGTGATTATATTTGAGTATTGTGGTTTTAAGTGCTTTTAATTTTCTTTTTTATACTTTTTGCCTACTGATTGATTTTTATTTTACATCAACTATATTTTTAAATCAGAAAAAATGTTTTTATTTTAAAGAAAATTTACATGTAGCTTTCAAAGAATTAATTCTACATGTTTAATTTATTTGAATTTTTAACATAGTTTTAAGTCTCAGAAAATTAGAAAAATTAAACTAGATAATATCACATATTTTAAACATCTAGACTGGACAGCAAAACTATGGTCCATGGGCCATATCCAGCCCACTGCCTCTTTCTGTATGGCCTATGAGCAAGGAATGGTTTTTCCATTTCTAAATGGTTGAAAAAATTAAAAGACAATATTTCATGAAAAATTCAAGTTATCTGAAATCCAAATTCCACAAATAAAGTTTGAATTCCATCAATGAATTTTTTCATAAGTACCTATGTACTATTCCTGATTTTGCCTACAAGTCATAAAATATTCACTGACTCTTTGCAGAAAAATTTACCTATCCCTAGTCTAAGAGAAGAAAGCATGCCTATTACCTGTGAATTCACCAAACCTCACGTCTCTTCTTGCTGACTGAGGATTGCTGTAAGGAAAGGAGAGGTAGCGGATGTTTTTGGTGCCAGCCTGTGAGTAACAGGAGGAGAGAAAAGGTAGAATTAGCTCCAAAAAAACCTAAATGTGCATGACACCAACCTATCTTGAGGGATTATAAATAAATAAATAAATAAATAAATAACACTCTGTTGCTAGAGAAACACAAAAGCAGGACACCAAGGAAATCTCCTTCTCTCTTTCTCTGGGTCTTGGCCTTAGGAGCCTAAAACATCTCCCTATGGGATATGTTATAGTAAACTATCCTCCAGAATGAGTCTGTGACTGAGACATGCTTGCTGGGCTGTGTCCAGGGACAGACATCATGTGTCTAGACTGAATATTCCAGAGGAATGTCTATGGACAAGAGTATTTGGCTCTAGGAGGTTTAATTGTCCCAGGAAGATATAGGGAGAGGCTTCTTTTTGCCAAGGTACCTGAGGAGGCCTTGTATAGGATCAAGCCCAGTTATCACATGGTAAACATTTGTTAAGGAAAGGAATGTCCAAAGTCTACAGTCCCAACCAGTACCGGTTTTCCCCATGGTAGGCTGTGGCCTTTCCTCATGCTCTCCCTTAAGGTGTTCTGGCGGCGGATCAGAATCTCTTTTGCCTGCTTCTCACTTGATTGGAGTTTGAGGCTGTATTTGTTGTAGGACAAGGTCTGTAGAGAGAATGGAATGATAAATACCTATGGACATCTCCAGGGCAAATTTTAGCCTCAAGGGGTTACTGAAAAATCACAAACCAAAGAATGTAGAGCTTGAAGGCATTTTGAACGTTTTCTGGGCCAAATGCTTCATACTACAGATGAGCAAGCCATAGCTTAGAGAAAAAAAGTTTGAATACTATTACATGCACAATACTTCATTATCATTGACACCAAACACTAGGCTACAAGTAAGTGCATAGACAGGTGAGAAGATCAGGTGGTGGTAGGCAAACAGGAATATAGCCAAGCCCAAGGATAGATTTGGCTGAAGATAATCTTACATATGCACTTGTGCTACAAAATTATCCCCATACAATACAGAAGCAACAGAAGATAGAGTTAGAGTAGCTTCTCAGAGATAACCAAACATCTTGAGAGAGAATCACCAAGCCTGTGGGTTTGGAACCACAGTCTCAGGGGACATCATGCTCAATTGGAGCAACATAGTACATAAAAATCTTGTTCTACATCCCACTTTGGTGAGTAGTGACTGCAGTCTTAAAAGCTTTCGAGTGGCCATCTAAGATGTAATTTATTGGTCTCCTCTTGTCTGGAGCAAAGAAGAGTGAAGAAAATCAAAGCCATCTAGAAACAATTAGTCCAAAGACATGATGGACCATGAGGACCTCAGCCTTCATGACCCCCAAAACAGAAGAACTAGATGGTGCCCAGCTACCAATGCCAACTGCTTAGAAAGGGATCAAAATTGGAGATCCTGGATAGAGTGGGAGGAAAAATGTGGAACAAAATTCAAAACCACAAAAATGACCAGAGTTACTGGTTGTATAGAGATTGGTAGAACCCTTGAGACTATGGCTCAGGTTACTTTGGGCCGAGAAATGGATTCACTTCTGTGGATTGGCTCTCAGCCCAACAACAGAAAGACCTACATGCAGAACACCTACCCCAGAGATGCACCCACCTACTCTAGGGAGATGTATCGCTTAGATCAACCAGCCATGATACATCAGAGGGACAGCATTCACATACAGGGAAAGCTGGACAGACAAGAGTGCATAGATAAGAAGGGCACAGGGAGGAGGTAGTCATGTGGAGGACAGAGGAGGAGAGGTTTTTGTTTTATTTTTTTTACAGTTGGGGGCTTGTAATCAAGCCATGAAATCAAATGTGCATGAACCGTTGGATGTAAAACAAATCTGCTTTGTCAATTTGCACCCAAAGCACAACTTTTAAAAAAGAAAGAAAGAAACGTATGAGAACTAATGTCATTCACCAGGGCAGAGTTATGTATGGAACCTCTGACTCTGAATCTCAGAGCATCTCAAAGTGCTCTATCTGTGTTGTCTTTGTACTCTCTTTGAAGCCCTATGCTAAGGTCCCCATAAACTGGCTTCCTTAGACACATTTTCTTTTCCAGGTGATGTTTTTTATGCTAACAGACTTTTTAGCCAGATCAGAAAAATGTCAAAAGTATTTTGGGAATTCCTATAGGGTTAAGACATTTGACTGCTAACCAGAAGGCTGTTTAGCAAACTCACCAGCCATTCTTCAGAAGGAAGATTGATCAATCTACTTCTGCAGTGATACCACCTCAGAAACCCAAGGAGGGGTCGCTAAGAGTCGGGACCAACTCAACAGCAGGAAGTTTGGTTTGCTTACAGGATTAATATTTTTTAAAATTTTGCCATTAAAGGACACTAAAAAAGATCTACCACATATTATCACCATCATTATCACTTAAATCATACCAGTTCTTTTAAGCAAAATGGTTTGTCGTTGTTAGGTTCTGTAGAGTTGGTTCTGACTCATAGTAATCCTTGGTAAAACAGAATGAAAACACTTTCTGGTCCTGTGCCATCCGAAAAATCATTGTATGTTTGAGCCCATTATTGCAGCCACTGTGTCAATCCATTTCACTGAGTGTCTTCCCCTTTTTTTGTTCACCCGCTACTTTACCATGCAAGATATTCAGTCCTTCTCCAGGGGCTGGTCCCTCTTGATAACATGTTCAAAATATACTAGGTGAAGTGTCATCATCCTCACTTCTAAGAAAGATTCTGGCTGTACTTCTTCCAAGACAGATTTGTTCATTCTTCTGGCAGTCCAAGGTATATTCAATATTTTTCTCCAACACCAATGCATCAATTCTTCTTAGTCTTCCTTATTCATTGCCAAGCTTTCCCAAGCACATGAAGCAATTGAAAATACCATGACTGGTGTCAGGTAAGCCTTAGTCCTCAAGGTGAGATCTTTGCTTTTTAACACTTGAAAGAGGTCTTTTGCTGCAGATTTGCCCAATTCATTATGTTTACAATAAGTGAAATAGTAGGAAGGACATAATATCAGATGAAGAATAGTCCTTCAAAATAAGTAAATTTAGCTTTATTTAAAAAAAAAAAAAAAAAAAACCTCTCTATTCCACAGTACATGGGGTAAATACTTGTTATGGATCATGGATCAACTCTGCTCTCAGACAAGTGTCTACAAAGCATTTAACTAGAAACATTTTACCCCTCTTGTCCACTCAAAGTTAACCTATGTGAAATCCTTGTTTTTCAGGGCTGTTTAGGTCACACTCTGTGCAAACTGCTAAATGACAAAGTCTCATTGGCTAAATAGCTGATTGGGATTAAAGGCATTATCCACCCCAGTTAATGACTGTTTTATAAAGATTTTCAGTTCAATAGCAGTATAACATATACTTATTTGTACCTATTATGTGCCAGGGAAGGAGCTCTTGTCGCACACTGGTTAAGTGCACAGTTGCTAACTGAAAGGTCTGCAATTTGAACCCACCAGCTGCTCTGCAGGAGAAAGATGTGGCAGTCTGCTGTCATAAAGATTTACAATCTTGGAAATCCTAGGAGGCAATTCTACTCTGCCCTATAGGGATGCTATGGATTGGAATTGACTCCATGCACACAACAACAGCATGTGCCAGAGGCTGTGGTATGCATAGAATTTAAATACATGAATGTTAGAATTCTGGTCTTCAAAAAGCTTATACTCTGTAGAGGAGTTAAACAAATTAAGCCTATTACGTAATACATTGAGGTAATGGTAAGGTGTTGGAGTATGCGAGGTGTTATAAGAATATAGAAAAAAGGGCTTAGTCTAGTTTTGGAGTAGAAAATGTTTATTTTATGGCTGAATCTTGAAAGACAAGTGAATATTATCCAGGGAACAAATTTCAGGAAGAGGGAAAAAAAAAATGCAAGACATAGATCTGTGGAACATTGAGTATGTGCAGACAATGCAGGGAACAATAGAGTTGAGCCGGGAATTCATTTTTTATCATAGGAGAATGAAGTACAGTTCAAAATGTGGTGAGAGAAGAGACCGGAGAGGCAGGGAGGGGACGGGGCCAGGCCCAGTCAACCTGCATAAAGCAGAGATGCCATTATCAAGGCCACACACACTCCAAGAAGTGCCACAAGATGATCCATGGAAAGAATATATTAATATTTCTATTACAACAACAACAACATTAGTATTTCTATTCATTTATATCCAAAAAAAGAAAAATGAGATTGTGTTGTTGTTATGTGCTGTCGAGTTGGACCCGACTCATAGCGACCCCTCCTTGGGTTTCCGAGGCAGTATCACTATGGAAGTAGATTGCCCAACCTTCCTTCCGAGGAGTGGCTGGTGGGTTTGAGCCTCCAGCCTTCTGGTTAGCAGTCAAGTGCCTTAGGCACCATGCTACCAAAGCTCCTAAAATGAGATTAAGTACCCCATTATAAATCCATAGATTAAAGTACTCCTCAGTTGGTTTATACATAAAATAGTTAAGGTTCCATTTGAGCAGAAAAGGTCGTCTATAACAAGGAGGAGTTGGAATGTTGTCCTTGTGTGTTTCATTTGCTTTTACTTTATGCAAGCAGTTATGTATATTTGTGATCTTTAGTACCTAAGAAATAAAATAATTCTAACAACATAGGCAATTATTTTTAAATATTCCCATACAGAAGTCATAGGTCAAAGGCCAAGGTAACAATGTAAAAGTGACAAAGCTGACCTTTTCCTTCTCCTGAAAGGAACTGTTGACCAGCCACCTTACAGAGTAAAACAGATGATAAATTAACCAATCTGATAAGAATTTGGCTAAATAAATAAAAAGCGTTAAGGATAGTTTGAAATGTGGATTCTTATTCACCATCACTAATAATGAACCTGAGGACCTCTGGTAGCATAGTGCCTAAGGCACTTGACTGCTAACCAGAAGGTTGGCAGTTCAAACCCACTAGCCACTCCTCGGAAGGAAGATGAGGCTATCTACTTCCGTAGTGATACTACCTCAGAAACCCAAGGAGGGGTCGCTATGAGTCAGGTCCAACTTGACAGCACATAACAACAACAACAACAATGAACCTCAACCTAAATGCATTTTATGAATTGAGATATCAAGTAATGATAATATGATAGTATCATGAAAAATATTTAAAATTAAGAGACAACACTTTATCATTTTTATCAACATTAAAATCATACAAAACTGAATTGATTATGTGTGTGTGTGTTTCTTGGAAGGAAGACTGGGCAATTGACTTCTGTAGAGATACCACCTCAGAATGTGTTTATATATATATATGTATATATATGTTGTTGTTTGTTGTTATGTGCCATCAAGTCGGACCTGACTCATAGCCACCCCTCCTTGGGTTTCCAAGGCAATATGACTACGGAAGTAGATTGTCCAACCTTCCTTCTGAGGAGTGGCTGTATGTATGTATATACGTATTTTACTTGAAGGGATTTCATATACCTAGCTTTGGGAAGAGGTTGTATTTTAAAGAAGATTTGGACATATAGGTCTTCTATTTTGCCTCACATGAAATAACCCACACATTAATCTATTTTATCTATCTATAGGAAGCATTGCAGGTCCTTCTCTCTTCTCCCTTCACTTTCACTCATTAATGAAGAAGTCATTGATTATAGTAAACCTCTGTTTCCCACTAAACTTTGAGTTCTATGGGAGAAAGAACTGT